CGAGGCGGTGCTGTGGCCTGTGGGTAGGCAAGTGTGTGTGACTTCAGTCCCGTTGCAAAGGAGAAGCCGTAGCATAGTGCTGTGCCGTGCCGGTCCTGGGAATCTGTGAATTGACTTTTCTGTGGGAGCAGTGTGCTGGCGCCATGTCGCTGTATAGTGCATAGAAGAAGCATGTATAAGTTGCTCCCTCCCCTGAGGGATAAGTTTCCCTCAGATGATGTCAAGAGTACTTTTAAGCACTTCAGAGATTCGTTTGCTGACAAGGCATTTGTATTATGCTTATTGAGGGTTATTTCTTTCTCATTTCTAAAAACCCAATCCCTCCAAGGAGTCCAACATGGAAGAGTTTAAAGATGCAAGTCCACCTGAAGAATTACTTGATCACTTAAAGCTTTCTGATCAGAAGTCTTCAGAGACTGGCCCCAAAGATGCACAGAATCCCAAAAACATTGAAAGTGGACATACACCATCTTCAGCCAAAGATCCCGCAACAGCAGATGAGTGTTTCCATGACTGTCACGACTCCTTTGAGGCAAAAGAACCTATGCTGGATGATGAAGGGAATTTACAGAATGATGAGAATAGCTCAAGGAAGCAGACAGAACTAGATGAAGAATACTTACTAGAACTAGAAAAAGATATGCCAGAGGAAGAAAAACAGGTAATCCAAAGTACCAATGTTGACTATAAAAAGATATATTTTCAGTGTCATGTTTCTGAATTGTCTGTGACCGGCATGAAAATGGACCTTTAAAACTCTCTTTTGTGTCTAGTTTTACTGCTATTAATTTCTTCTTTTAGGTAATAAATATTTTTGTTAGCTTTCCTTGCTGCTTTTAATCACCACATTCCGTTGCAGATTTTTGTCTACTTTCACCACTGTGTAAGGTTACTGTGACTCAGAGAGATTATAAGAAACAAAAATCTCCATGTTTCATGTTACTTAATTGAGTATATTCATTGTTTTCACCTGATTAGCTGCAAGGTGCTTTTTCAAAACTCAGAGCAGGTTTCAGGATTGTTTCAATATCTGAAAGGCTAGTTTATGTAATACAACTCATTGGGATTACATTTGAAAGTATCCCTATAGATTACTTAAGCTTTAAACAAACAAAAAACATTGAATGTGTGGTTTTGTTTATTTTCAGTGCCTTTACATTGGACAAAATGTTTGGGTAACAAACTGGATAATGTTGTGGGAAGTAACAAAACAGGTCTTGGGGGAAGTCCAGTAGCCTCTGTAATGGTGTTTACTGCCCCATAAGTCTGTGTGAACCAGTTTTTTTGACCCTCAGTCAGTGGTTTCACTTGACAGCAGTTAGTTTTCAGGGTTCATCAAGAGTTAGGAAAAAAGACAGAACTTTTTATTCTACTGATTTATGGATTTCCCCCCACCCCCAACTTTTTTCAACTTCAGTTTGCAGGTGGTGGGGGAGTAAAGATGTTAAAGTAAAATCTGTGTCCCAACATACAACTTTTGTAATTTTTTTTTTTTTTTTTGAACACTCTGTTTTTGACAAGTTATATAGCTTGGCCTCTTGAAGAGGTCATGTTTCAAAGAACTGATCCAGGATGTTAAAATCTGACTGAATTATCCAAACGAGCAGTTACTTGTACTGAAAATTGAAACAGGGACTAAATTCTTTAGCAGTTGGGGAAAAGATGGAATTCTGACATATTGTAACTTATGTGAAGGGAAGACTTCAGCAAACTTTATTTTTTATATATATATTTTATATATATCCTGTAGGCATGAATTAGATCTTATTTTAATAAAGGGAATAGAGTCCTTACTGAAAGGCTAGCTGCACAATTTGGATCATAGGTAACATTGAATAACTCATTATGGTGAGGGAAGGAGAGAGTGGAGTAAGGAATGGTAGCTGACAAGAGAAGGTAGGCAGCATCTTAGGAAAGCATTACTTCATAAGGGAAGATAGTGTATTATATAGCTGTATAGTTTTTATTCTGGAAGCTCCCAAATCACCAGGCACAGTAGAATAAATTACTACTGTAATGGACAAGTACTAAAATGAGGCATTTGATGAAAAAGAAGAAATGAAGGGTCATATCAAATTCATTTTTTCAAAAGTGCTTAAAATATTATGAATGTTTCAGTGACTTTATAGGAGCTTATTACTCTTTTGTACAGGCAGACTGATCTTTTCTAATTCAACTGACTTGGTAAAGCTGGACCACGCTTTCTTAAGTGTTGGCTAGCCCTGTCTGTGTTGTATAAGTAAATAAATGCTGGCTATACATTGCCCCAAAAAGTTGGAAAGAGGGCAGGGCTTGGCAGTAACTTGACTACGCTGTGGTCTTACTGCCAGCTACTATAAATAGAGAATGACAGGCAGAAATATGCAGAGCCATGATGCCAGAGGCAACCAAACATCTAAATAGTTTGTTACAAACCAGTATAGAGAAATCTAATCAATTGTGGCTCAAATAGTTCCCTTGCTGGCAGGGTAGGATTTCTGACCAAAATACATCAGTGAAGACAAAAAGGTAGTTTTTCATCATGTTAATGTAGAAGTTCCTTGAGGTGGAATAGCAATCTGGGACTAGTGGGGAAGTGGAACATGGAATATAATCTCCTTGAAGTTGGAATGAGACTAGATGTAACACTTGTCTGCTGCTTCACCTTGTGGAAATCATATCGCGCTCTCTGTCTCTCAGTTTTGACATTTGTAAAATGGGCATAATGATGCTTGCCAGTTGTAATACTTTAGATCAATAAGGAACAGTGGGGGGGGGG